TTAAAGCTGAAGACCGTAAGATCCAACCAATATAACAGGACTTCTGCACTTTTATTCAGACTTTACTTTGTTTTTCTGTATATTTTTTCTACTGTTAAAAAAACACTCTAATACACTATTTTGGTTGTAGTTGTGTATCATGAATGGAAAGGACGGGTAGGTAAGCACCAGTTTTTAACTGGTGTTGGAGCATCCGGAAGAATTGCTAAACATCAGTTATCACAATTCGCTCAGAGCTATGAAACATTTCATTTTGTAGAAAAATGTTTGCTCTACAAAATGCATCTGTTAAAAAATTTCTAAAATCATTTCTAAGAAAATTTAGAACATTCTAAAATGCACAAAATTAAGGAAAAAAACCTGTTCGAACAGTTTTTTTTCGTGGTTTAATGTATTTTCGAATACTCTAAGTTTTCTTAGAAATGATTTTGGAAATTTTTTAACAGATGCATTTTGTAGAGCAAACATTTTTCTACAAAATGAGATGTTTCGCGGCTCTGAGCAAATCGTGATAACTGATAGATAGGAATTGTTCTGGATGCCCCAACACCAGTTACAAGCTGGTGTATACCTAAGGACGGGGACCATAAGAGCCGAAATAGATATGTTTCTATAATAACTCAGGTTACAAGAGGCTCGGTTGAGCAAATTCTTTTCTGTGCTTTGCCTATTGTCCATTCAAAAAAAGAATGGTATATGACTGTTTTTTGAATAACTTTCGATAGGTAAAAGCTAAAGAGCTTCAATTTTCACCAGTCGAAAACAGCCTGAAAACACAAATTTAAAGAGGAAAATGTAGACCAACCTTTTTTCGTGAGATTTTCGGTCAAAGCTAAACGAAAACCATCAATACCGTACACCAGTCGACTCCTCAGACTGCGGCGAGTTTGACTACCTAATTTTTGGAGCTCTAAAATCTATAGTCTTTGCTAAAATAATAGATAATTCTGATAGTAGAATCACATAAGGAAATTCGGAGATTTTAACACTAAAAAATGAAAAAACTTTCCTGCGGTTTTTCGGCTTGACGCATTTGCTCACAGTCCCACTGTACTGCTCGAATCATTCTCTGTCGAACGATGTCGAATACATCTATTTCAACCCTTTTTCTAGCAAAATCCTGCCAAAAATTCTCTATGACAAAAACTGAAAATTGTCTTCCTCCTAACTCAGCCAGTATGAGTCTGGCAGTTGGGAAATTTTTATAGGATACTTGGCAAAGACAGGGGAACAAAGCGTATCATTCAAATTTTTTTATGAACACTTTCATTTTTTTTTATCGATTGTACCAAAAAGTTACTTTCTCTCATATATATCACACTCCTGTATTAAACCTTAGATCTGAATAAAACTGTCATAACTTTCGATCAAAGCACCGCTCGGTTCTGGGAGACGTCTCAGTTCAACCACAAATGTTTTACTCTACCAACTGCAGCCACTAAAACCCTGGTTGCTTCCGACATGTCATCGACATACCAGAATTTCAGAAAAATTAGGCTTCAGGGGCGTTTGGAAGATTTGTTCAAAATCTTCTAGAAACGTTGGATATTGGCACAAACAATATGAACTCTAAAAGTAGACATCTTGAGATCTTCAATCATGTGCTTAGCTCAACATGGACCGTTTATGGAAAATTTATATTCCTGACCAGGGGGGAGGGGGGCCTAAAAAGTTCAGTAAACCAGGAACGTGATCAGTTTGAAACTTGAAACTTTCTGTGGATATCAGAGACACATGGGAGAGTCACAGAAAAAAATTTGAGTACTTAATTTTTTTCCTGAGAGAGTTATAAAATTTTTGAGTTTTCTTTGTTTTTCAATCCAACATTTTCAGTTTTTTTACTAACGTTGAATGGTTTGTTTTCTCCAAGTTATGTCAAGAGCAGTAAAATCAAATCTTTGTTTTTTTCCTTTCTATTAGTATTCAACTGCTGTCTCTTTCTTTTATCCTGCCTGTGATACCAGCAGATCGGAATATTTTCTGTCTATCATGACTGATCTAATGATCTTCCATTCTATTACATTTTGGTTCGCTTCATAAGGATTTTACATTGTCACTTTTGTCATTACATTGTCTATTTTATCTTTGGCTAAATAGATTAGAAGAGTTAAAAGAAAGTTGACATGAGCCAGTTGGTTTCGTTTTCTCCTTAACGTAAGAAATTAAGTTCTCATGAGAAACTTTAGTCTCGAATAGTCTCGAGTTCACGACTGCCTTGCAGTTACAAAAATGGTTCAAACAATACAAGCACCCGATCCTAGTTCACCTGTACCTTCGCTGACCATCAGTAAAAATACTCAGACACCCAACATTCAATATCACAGATCACAAGACTGTATCAATCTCCAATTCAATCCCAAACGACCATTTCACCAACAATCGAACCACTACCCCTAGTCGAGGCTCCCGGCAAAACTCCCACGGGAATCCTGTCACGAGGTCATGCCAGGATCCTGTGGGAGTCAGGGATAAGGTTTGTTTCGAAGCAAAAGCAACGAAACGATCAGTGATCGAAGAACAGAGACAAAGGAAGCAACAACAAAGAGACGAGAGAAAAGCAACGAGAGATCACAAGATTAGAGGAAGGAAATATCGCAACAGCAAGAGAGAGAAAAGAATGACGCATGAAGGAAAGAGAATGATCATCTACTCGAGATGACGAACGAGGCCACAGGACAACGAACAACACAGGAAGGAAGAAAGGGTCACTGTGAGGAAGAAAGAGTTGGCGTCATGGAGTGACATCTGTTGACGCTGACATAGGTGGCTCTCATTCCTCCTCTATACTTCAACACTCTCCTTTGGATCGGGTTTTACAAAAAAATATTATTCGAATATGAGAATTATTTTTTCTTTTTCTTCTGACAGTCGATGATTCCTTTGACGATCTTATGATCTTTCTCGCCTTTCGTCCGTAATAAGTTCAGATGGAAGATACGGACAACAGGTAACCATGAATAAAGATATTGTGACCAATGAGGAGTATTTGGTAAGTAGCCTTTACAATTGTCATCATAAATTGCCAACTTCGCTGGTAGTTCGGCTATTGCTGTTTCTAACTCTTCGTGCGACACTTGAAGTTCTCTTTTTTCTCTTTCCACGCTTTCAATAATACGTACTTTTTCACTGATCTCACGTTTATGATGAGACCAAAGTTCATGATTTTTATCCAGCTGTCTTTGGTATTGCTCAATCAGAGCAACAGGTAAAATAATGTGAATTGGATGGTTATCTAAGTGCCGAATCCACTCTTGCACTTCCGACGAGACGGAAGTGATCTCTTGGCTTTTGACTGGAATACTGTCAGCCATATAATTTTCCTTTTCAACGGCTCCAGAATGGTCCAGCAAAAACGTCTTCACTTTGCTACCTTTCCATTTCTTTAAATACGCGAGTACATAGCCAAAGTTGCCATAGCCACTGTTTCGATGCTCATATTTATGCAGGATAATAACTCCGATTATATTTTTTATTTGCATCACTCCGTTCCACCATCTGTCTTCATTTAGTCTATAACCAGGTGAATCAACAACCAATATAGGATTGCCATTATGGTTGATCGATGCGCCTTGGAAGTTGAAAGTGCCATCGTTGCTATTTGTACTAATTTTAAATTTGGCATTTGTCAAGTTGTTCACCAATGTCGTTTTTCCTAGCCCACCGCCGCCAAATACGATTACTTTCGGTAGATCATTTTTCTCTACGATCTCTTCAAATGTCGAAACAGGAACAGTTGTATTCGTCATTTTACGGCTAGAAATAGAACTCTTTCGCGTTTTTTTGCAACAGGCGCAGTTTGGTTGATATCGATATTCTAACTTTAAAAAGAAAAATAGAAAGTAGATGTATAGAAGGACAGTATTAATGTTGGCATAATATAAAGTATTCTACGTAAACACATACAAGCAGCAAAACCAATCGTCGACAAATTGAAAATTCTATGGAATTTCATCAACCAAAGCCACTCAAGGACTATACCGTATACCAGTAAACCAGAGCATTGGTAGAATTCCATGTAAAAGTTACAATACTTAATTTAATAAAATGTTCACTTATTTTAACTAATTAGTAACTTAATAATAAGTTGAAAAAAGTGTTAATACGTGAACCTTCATAGTTTCTCTTTTACATGGGATTCGGGCATATCGAAGTCGAAGACATTAGAATTCCAGTTAGTCACGAGCGTGTGAGAATTTGGGTTGGGACGCATGAGTCGCATATTCACGCACATCCACCTCACAAACGAACAATATTCGTCCTGTATTGTCTTATAATTCTTGGCTTATGCTGATTTACAGGTAGCATCCATTTATATTGAAAACATGGCTCGAATATAGATCGAATATGAGGATGGATGCATGAATACACTAATGCCACTCTCGTTCACTTATCTTCGGGTTCTTTTTAACTGTACGTGGAAAGGAGCGGTGAATATTTGTTTTTCAATATGTTTTAACCAAAAGTCATGCAAACACGTATTCTTTAGCAGATTCTTAATAATTAGTGTCCAACAGAGCTGTCCGTGAACGATCGTTTCTAGCTTAACCCAGGGCGAAAACACATAGCGTAAGATCTTATTGATACTAATGTAGGAAAAAAGTACGTGTATTTGTTTCAAATTACGAGTTACGTGTAGCTTAACAATAAATTTGCTTCTATAGTAACGTTTCACTAAGTTTGCTCATTGAATTAAACCGTTTTTTCAAAGTAATCAGTTTTCAGTTTGCCAAGGAGAGTTAGAGCTATCGATCTATGTAAAAGTATTTGAGATTCGTTTGCTCAATTCTTATTAATTAAGACAAAAATGAAGGTTACTATGAATTTTTTTTCTTTTCTGTCTGCTCCTAAATACAATACGTCCATACAAATACATGGAGATTTTCAATCAAGTTGAAGAAAAGTCTTTTGCTTACAAAGTTCAATGAAACCTTCAAAATTTTATATAGAAATACTAAGAAGAGTCTGCCGAATCAAACCATATAACTTTTCGTGGAAAAAGATTACTTTTTCGCGCACTTATGGTGAGATTATTGCGAGTATATTCGTGTTCTAATTTTTTCCCATTCCAAATAAGAATACGACGTGTATTTTCTGTTCCTATTTAGAACACGTCCATACAAATACATGGGCTTTCTAAGTAAAGTCAGACAAAAAAGATGTAGCCACTACCCGAAGTACAAAATGGAGGCAAATGTTTGTAACAAAATATGTTCAGAAAAGTCAGGACCGTCAGTAATGAAAAGCTGAAGTCTTAGAGACGAGCGTTTTCTATACTTTTGCCTTCTCCATTATTCCGCTGATTTCTCCAAGGCGGTTATTCCAAGTAAATCTTGTTTTTGAAGGCATAAAAATCGAATTTTATCATTTTCAGTTATTTGTAGGCTAACCATGAGATTCGAGATCCCTTTCTGCTGAAGCCAAGTTAATCGAAGGATTCTTCAAAATCTCGGATTGCTAGATAGAAACAACCGTTTTCCCAAAAACTGCTGTTAACTGTCTAAAAACCGTCTATTTTACGTAGATCGTTTTACCGCCGTAAATTGGTATTTGAAACTGTCTATTTACAGCCAGTAAATCGTCTTTTAACGATCAAGCTTCTCGTGGAAATTCGATATATTAGAAAACCGGTTACTGGCAATTTTTAGGCAGTTGGAAAACCACCTATTTGCGGTGGTAAAACCATACTATACACATCATCAAAAGACCACCTAAAAACTATCTGAACGGTCTAAAAACAGCCAGTAAACTGACTGTCAACTTGCAATTAACCGGTAGTTAACTGGCAGTAACGTGTCAGTTTTCAATGTACTGGGCCGTGATATAGAATTTTTTTCGCTTTTTTCACATAAGATTTAGATGAAGCATCTATGCTGTAAAAACAGTCTTCTTTACTTGGTGTTTACTCCATTATTCCTTTTTAATTCATATTCTTATCAAAAAACTATTAACTAAAATTTTATTCAATTCTTATAAAAATCAGCAACTGATTTCAGTAGAAAAAAGTCAGTAGACTACTGGTCAAATTAGTAGAGCTGACAATGCTCTTTCCATACGTTTTATCTTTAGTTTAAAGAGAAACTGAAACAGGCCGAGTTTTTGGAAAGTGGCATGTGGATTTCTCGCTGGTTTTAGTTTCGAATGTTATAAAGGAACTTTTTTCTGTTATATTCTAAAAGAATAAAACTTATATCAATTGTATGAACGCTGACTCTATGTATACGCAAATATATCCTAAATAGAGAAAGAAGAAAGAAACACCTGAATGCCTTTTTGCGTGAAGTCTATATTTCGTTGATACTTTTATATTTTGTTATATAGCCTAAATCAAAATATAGACCTATGATCTATACAAACGACATGAAATATGAGAGGAAAAGGGTGCATTTTTCTTTTTCAGTTGACACGCGCATCATAGACCCTATATAAAAGTGATATGAAAATTCGAGTAGGTTGAATAATAGCTTCATAAACCCAGCAATTGAGAAAGCGTATAAATTTTATACTATAAAGTGACAGAAATAAAATTACTGTGCGCTCATTTTAACTTCATTGTCTAAGTGAACCTGAGGTAAATGATCTAGCCTGATTGCATCATGTTCCCGAAGAGAAGTCCGGGTAAAACATGGTAAAATCAGCATCTCAGCTGCCTGAAGAAAAACTTTAGACCTTTAATGACCCTCAAACCTGTGCTTTCCAATATCCTTCGCTCTCAGAAACTGATATCTTGCACAAGAAATGAGATCTTTTCTATGTCAAAACTTGATTACATCATGTTCTCAAGAAAACTCCGAGTAAAACGTGGTGTAACCAAGTCTAAAAGGGGATGAACGCGAGTATCTCTTACTCACATTATTATAATGAATGTAGTCCAAGCTATTATATGTACACGTATACAACACGCCTTGATACAGCCTTTATGCTTACAAGTATTGTTAGCCTCGTTGGTGGTTTATCAAAAGTGCTAAGAGTTGTTACGCCACTCATAATTTTGCTTTTTCGTCAATTGCGTAATAGAAAGAGTCAAGAAGATGAAAAACGTAAGAACTAGTTTTTATCATGTTCTCTACCCTGTTTGAAGAGTACATCGGCTTGTCCACGTAACGCGACACTTCGCTGATCAAGTTTATAAAAAAAGAATTTTCGCTTTCGAAAATTTTGAACACATCAGTAGATGTAATTTTTAATTCTAAGAACCCGTTTAAAACGCTTTTCCGATAAAAATTGGTGTTTGAGTCTCAAAACCGGTTTTTGAACATTTCAAAAATCGGATTTTCTATTTTTAGCCGAGAAAGTTTTCGAAAAATAAATTTCTAAACATATGGTTTCGTAGAAAATTTAATTCTCTACAAAATGGCGTATTTGGTTTTGAGCTTCAGCGCTTTAGAAAATTTGTACGTATTTGTACATTTGCCGACTTAATTTACAGTTTTGGACCCTCCAATCCGAAATAGCGACTTTATTCTTGCGTATATCGGCTGACTGTAGCACGAATAATTATATGTATAAGTATCAAAATCGTCTGATCATATTAGGTCCCTTAGAAACACTCGACAAAAATAGTGCGTAACACCGTTACGTGTATGTTTCGATGTTTTTGCCTTAACTGAAGATGTTGGAAACATTCTTTTTTTTACCATCGGATAGCCCGTTCTGTGCTCTACAATTTTTGTGCCAAAAACTTTTCATTATAACCTTTACCTTTGTCCGAATTCATGTTTTTGTTGATAGCACTCGAAAAAAAGGATCTGTTTTCGTAACGCCGTTACGGCCTACAAAAACCGCTCTCAAAAGTCGAGACTTCATCCAAAAAATCTCATTTTTATGTTGTAAATGGGGGTCGACGAGCTAGATCGAATGGCGTTTAAATGTGCTTTTTAACTATTTTAGTTTCCGAGATAATTTCATTTTAGTGCGTCCGAAACGTAACGCCGTTACGTTTGGACAAGCCGACATATTATAACGAAAAGTTAAATTTCGTTTAGAAGAGCGTCATACGTTGTTTCGCGCCAGAAACGGGTAGTTCAGCGATCGTTAACAAACGCGTTGTCAAAAAAGTTGAGGGTTCAAACCTCTGTATCTTTATCGTATCTATTTAGCTACAAGATTAGAAGGTGTAAAATAAAATGTACATTTTGATCATTGTGCACTAAGCATATCCTTCGTGAATAGAAAGAAAAGAGCTGTTCCTTTGTTC